ACTCTTTATCAATTTATGACTGCTCATGCTAAACAAGATGTAACTACATAGAAACTTTGATGTTAAGTTTGTACTGGGCTGTTATATATATGATGGATGTTAATGTTGACCCTTCCACTACTTCTGTGCCACTCTGATTTAGGTTAAACTCAAAAACATGCTAGCTTGGGAGAAAAAAAAAAGGTTTAAAAAGGTTTAAAAAGGTTTATAGCTGGTTGTGTAAATACTAAAATTGAGATATCAAAGAAATAGTTACAGCATTTCAGAACTATCCAAACCACTTGGACAGAACCCTTGGACTATGTACACACTGAGACTCTGGGTTGATCTGAGGGGGCGGATCCTCATCCCTGAGTACTGGGATGTGTGGAAAGTCATGTGTGGTTTCCCTCTTTGTCTCTCCCATTCCTCCAGGAACAACAGGAAGAAATAGCAAATTTGGAAGCAATGACTTCACCCAATTTTCTCTAAATCTTGATCCTTCCCACCCTGATCAACCATGTAATCACTAATAAAAAATAAAATTTTTTAAAAAGAGGAAAAGAAAATAACCATGAGGAAACAGATATCTAGACAGCTCTAAATTATATTTCAAGCTGTTACCAGTATCTCAGGGTGGTAAGATGGGTACGTTTCAGGCCTGGCGTGGTGTCCTAGCAGCTGAGTCCTCACCTTTAACACACCAGAATCCCATATGGGCACCAGTTCTAATCCTGCCAGCCCCACTTCCTGTTCTCTTCTTGTGGCCTGGGAAAGCTGTCCAGCATGACCTAAAGCCTTGGGAACCTGCACCTGGGTGGGAGACCCAGAGGAGGCTCAGGGCTCCTGCCTGTGGATTGGCTCAGTTCCAGCCGTTGTAGCCACTTGCGGAGTGAATCATGGGACAGAAGATCTTTCCTCTCTGTCCTCCTCTCTGTATATCTGACTTTCCAATGAAAATAAAATAAATCTTTAAAAAAAATAGGTTTTGGGCCCGGCGCGGTGGTGCAGGTGGTTAAGGTCCTCGCCTTGCACGCCCGGGATCCCATATGGGCGCCGGTTCTATCCCGGCAGCCCCACTTCCCTTCCAGCTCCCTGCCTGTGGCCTGGGAGAGTGGTTGAGGATGGCCCAAAGTTTTGGGACCCTGCACCCGCATGTGGGAGACCCGGGAGAGGCTCCTGACTTCGGATCGGCATAGCATCAACCATTGCGGTCACTTGGGGAGTGAATCATCGGACAGAAGATCTTCCTCTCTGTCTCTCCTCTCTGTATATCTGCCTTTCCAATAAAAAAAAATAATTAAAAAAAAATAGGTTTCACTTATTTATATTTTCAGGTTCATCTGACAATTCGAATAATCTTGTTCTAATTTCATAATTGTCAAATAATCCAACATAAAAAGTTATTTTAACTTTGTAAAAAAACAGAGTAGCCACCAACTCCATAACAAATGCATATTTGCAAATTACCCGCATGATTTTTTTAAATTAACAGAAGTAGTTTATCACTATGGTAAATACTGAAACAGGAAAATGAAATGTTAAAATACAATGGATCTTTTCAAAATTTTTGCACTAACATAAAAACTACATAAATAAAAATCAATAAAAGCTTTGATGAAAAGTAAAATTACATATAAGAATAATATTGATGAGGATATTAAATAGGCAGACAATGTATGCTAAGATCTGGTTCATATTTTTGAAAAGGATAGAAATACCATGTGGTATAAACAAAATTCTACCTCCTCTTGGCACCCATGCTTATTTTCCCTTGGGTAGCTCCTCCTATGACTAGGTAGGATTATTTCCCTCATTTTCTTAGTAAAAAAAAAGTTATGGGGGTGAGCCTCATATAAGATCTTTAAGTCTAGGTCTACAGATTTAAAAGAAAAAAATATTTCTTCCCCCTCTCCCAAGCAAAAAGGCATTTCTGCTGACCTGCAAGAATGAAAACTCCCATGTTGTAAACTACCTACGCAGCCCAAGACAAGGAACTGCAGACAGGCTCTAACAGTCACCAGTGACCAGGAAGAAAATGGGGACCTGCAAGAAACTGAACTCTGTTAATGCAACAAGCTTAGAACAGGACTTTGAGCCCCAAATGAGAATTGCAACACAGCTTATACTTCTATTACAGCCTTGAGTTGCCTTTAGCAGAGGATTCAGTTGAACCATTCCTATACTACTAACCCTTGAAAACTGTAAGATAATAAATTTGTGGTGTTTCAAGCCACTACATTTGTGGTTTAGAAATACAGCAATATTGTGGTAGAGGATTTAGCGTGCTTGTTAGATGCTGGTTGAGGCACCTGTGTCCCAAATCAGAGAACCTTGAGTCCAATATTTAGGTCCAGCTTCCTGCTAATTCACACCCTGGTAGGGATGAGAAGTCAAGTGATTTTGTTTATGTGACCCATGCAGGGAACCTGAATAATGGATCTGCTTCTCAGGTTCAGTCTCAGTCTAGATCCAGTCACTGTGCACATTTAGGGAAAGAACAAGCAGATGGGAGTAATCTCTGTTTCTCCCTCTTGTTCTCTCTGGCTCACAAGTAAGTAAAAAGGAAATAAAGAGATGGACAGAAAACTAATACATACAGGATAACTAGACAGTAACAAAAGATCATAATCAATTATATGTCTGTTTTAAAAATTTAAAGGTCACTCCAAAACACTAATAGAAACGTGGATGAAACATAAAAACAAGGATTTCACAAAAGGCTAATATCCAGAATTTACAAAGAACTTCAGAAACTCAATGATAGCAAAACAAACAACCTTGTGAAGAAATGGGCAAAGGAAACAGACATTTTTCAAAAGAACAAATTCAAATGGCTAACATATGAAAAAATGTTCAAACTCTGTAGCTACCAGAAAAATATTAATAGAAACTACACTGAGGTTCCACCTAACTCCAGTGAGAATGGCCTACATCCAGAACTCTACTAACACCACCTGCTGGAATGCTTTTGAGAAAGGTACCTTATCCTTATTCCACCTTTGGTGGGAGTGTAGCTTAGTATAACCACTATGGAATTCAGTATGGAGAGTGCTAAAATAACTGAAAATTCATCTGCTGCATGACCCAGCTATCCCACTTCTGGTATTACATCCAAAGGAAATGAAAGCTGTATATGAGAAAATGACATGCAACCCTGCATTTATAGCAGCATAATTTACAATAGTGTAAAGATGGAAACAACCCATATGCAGACTGAAAGAGGAGTGGATAAAGAACCTATAGTATATCTGTGCTATGGAATGCTACTCAGCCATTAAAAAGAACAAAATTCTAGCATTTGGCAACAAAATGGTCCCAACTACAGATCATTATGTTCAGTGAAATAAGCCAATCCCAAAAGGACAAATATCATATGTTCTCTCTGATATAAGGCAAACCTTCATGCAAAATACAAGATCAATAGATACAGAGGTAAACATGCATGTATATACAATCTAGAGGAACTATGTAATGGAGACTATCATATCAAAATGTGAAGACACAATGCAGTATGCATCTCTACTTCCAAGTCAGACGGACTCTCTGCTATTGTCCATACTTACAATGTCAGAATATACTTAAGTAGCAGAATGATGGACATATAACTATTTTTGAAGGACTATAATATTCTAATATTATGGGGGAAGCAATGGGAGGAGGGGATTTGAGGAAGGGAAGAGGGAAAATCCCAGAGCCTGTGGAATTGTATAATTAAACAAATAAATAAAAGATTCAACAGGAATACTCAACAAATATATGAATACATGCTCAGGATCAATAATAATCAGTGAAATTCAAATCAAAATAAGATGCCATTTCATATCTACAAGACTGAGAAAAAACCGGTGAAGTCAAATGTAGGCAACAATGGAGACAGGAACAACAATCATTTAACACTGCTGAAAATATTCAGCCAGCATTTTTATTCATAAGTACACATATGCACAGGTTTTTCTAGAAATTTATTTGTCTTTTACTTTAAAGTCAGTTATAGAGAGGGGAAAGAGATAGAGAAAGAGAGAGATATCTTCCATCTGCTGTGTTCACTTCCCAAATGGCTTCAACAGCCAGAGCTGAGCTAATCCTAAGCGAGGAGCCAGGAGCTTCCTTAGGGTCTCCACATGGGTGCAGGGGCCCAAAGACTTGAGCCAGCCACTGCTGTTTTCCCAGGCCATAAGCAGGAAGCTGATCAGAAGTTGACCAGCTGGAACATGAACTGGCATCCATATGGGATTTTTGTGCTACGGAGGATTAGTGTGATAAGCGACCACACTGGCAACTTATCATTCATTTTTTAAAAATGCCTGTATTTATACTACTAGTTCCTTACTTATCAATTATAGATAGTTTACTAACTTATTTGTACAACAGTAAGTGAAAATTTAGTCCACTTATAGCACTTCTTACATTCGCTATTAAGTCAGTATGGAGGATAAACTATAATGTCAGATAACATACATAATTTCTTCCTCTCAATCTTGGATAGTATTTCCTTATATTTAATATTCTTAGCCTTCTCCAACTTCTAACAGATATGACTTTATCTTTACATAGTTACCATTAATATTTACTACTTAGTTTTTAAACCACATCAAACTCATATGTTGTTCTGAAATGAATATTCATTATAATGTTAAAAATATTAAATAAATATTGATAATTTGGGGTAGGCCTTCAGCCTAGAACATAAGACACCAGTTAGGATATCCACATCCTAAATTAGAGTACTTAGGTTAGAATACCTAGTTCCAGCTCAAGGTTCCTACTAACACAGACCCAAGGAGGCAGGGTGTCAGCTCAAGCAATCGGATTCCCACCACCCATATGGGAGACTTGGATGAAGTGATTAAGCACCATACAAAGTAAACTACTGAAGATTATAATTTCTCCAAACCATGCTGAATTCTAATTTACCAATAATATAAAAATCTCATGCCAAATTTTCAAATTTAAGATCTTTATTTTATATCTGAGTCCAAAAATGTTGACATTTATTGAGAATCATAAAGCATTCCTACCTGCCAAAGCATCCTGATAGAGCTGTACAAAGTGATTAAAGATATCCTTTGGCAAACACTTTTCATCTGGTAGACACTGCAGAAGAATGACTATCTCAGACTGACCCACTGCATGCATCCCCTTAGTTGTGAAACACCAACACTTCCGGTTCACATCTAAACACAGAATAAAAATAGAAAGTATTTATCAATCCTAACACTTAAAAAATACACACACTGACATCTATAGTACAATGTAGCAAAGAATAAAACAAACTATACTGAGTCTGTATAATTCATCTGTGAATTGACAATGCACTGAATCAAAGAATTACTGTAAAAAATAAAACGCCAAGTCGTCTGGCATGAGCACCAGGAATCAAGAAATTACCTCTGGGCTTTAACTTGAACGTTTAACAGTTGTACTGTGTGTTAGTTAACTACCATTCTTCTTAAATAAGGTTCTGATTAAGGTTTCTGGTATTAAAATTTAGTGTTTTAACGGTTTCGTCCTCTTGAATATTTATCCATCAATAGTTATTCTAGTGATGAGGTGGTAATTTATCGCTTCCATCTTAAAAACTCAGAAAAATTCAAGATACATTTGGCTTCTTTGTTAAGCAAATTTGCTATCTCAGTCTGTGTTCAACTACAACAGTTTCAGTAAGCACCACCGTGAGCTGTCTTTCTGGGATACAAATCCACTTTTTCAAAACTCAATTTTCAATAAGGTATGGCTCAAAAAGATTTGTGTGTAATAAATTGGAAAGATTCATTTACTAGAAGTCAAAAAAATAGTTTTAATCTTAAAAATTAAACTTTTAACTTACAATTTACAATTTTAACCATTGACAACAAATTTGCATTTAAAACAAATACAAGCGGGTCAGGGCCACCGTCTTCCAATTGTTGCATTACTGAAATCTGCGATGGTTTTTCTTCCACGGCATAGTCTGTAAGGAGAGAAGAAACACTGTAATAGATTGGCTAGAGGGAGGCATTAATGGGAAAAGCTGATAGAGGAAGGGGCTGATCATTCACAGGAAACAGACAAGCACTGGATTTGTAAACAGGGTGAACAAAGGTCTGTTGTACCAACGGTCCTAGCGTCATGTCAACAGTATCTCCTGTTACTCCCAAGTGGCCCAATTCAGTTTCTATGATAACCTGATTATCCAGTATATTAGCTATTCCACAAACTGTTGCACCATAACCTAAACAGAACTCTTTACACAAGAAATCTTCCAAGCATCACATAATAATGATCTCACATAATACCAATAATAAAGATTTCACATAATTTCAATCTTTAAAATAACGCCCATCAGAGACGGCAGAGCTGACTCAAATAACTGAGTTCAGCCATCCGTGTGGGAGATTGGGACGGCATTCCTGGCTCTCAGTTTTGACTCAGCTCAGCTTCAGTCTCACCCAGACCCTGCTACTGGCAGCATTTGGGGGATGGAGGGGTGACCGAGGAGATGAGAGTGTTCTCTATGTCCTTTTTTCTGTCTTTGCTTCTCCAATAATAACATTTTTAAAATATGTCAGTACTTCTGGGATGTGTGGAAAGTCATGTGTGGTTTCCCCTTTGAATCTCTCCTTGCCCCAGGAACAAGAAGAAACAGCAAATTTGGAAGTAATGACTTCACCCAATTGTCCCTAAGCCTCGCTCCTTCTCACCCTGATCAGCCATATAATCATTATTAAAAAATAAAATTAAAAAATATTAGTACACAAAACAACCCATCACATACAAAATGAGGCAGTGATATGCTAGAAGTAGTTCCTGAAAACAATGTCAAAAGGGGTTGCAATAGAGGAGAGTCCTACTTTTTACTTTATACAAACACTCTAAAAGCTGACTTTAAAAAAATATATTCAGGGCCTGGGGCAGCAGCCTAGTGACTGAATCCTCGTTTTGCATGTGCTAGGATCCAAAATGGGTGCTGGTTCTGATCCTAGCAGCTCCACATCCCTTCCAGCTCCCTGCTTGTGGTCTGGAAAAACAGTCGAGGATGGCCCATAGGCGTGGGACCCTGTACCCACATGGGAGACCCAGAAGAAGCTCCTTGCTCCTGGCTTCGGATTGGCTCAGTTTTGGAAAGAGCTGCCACTTGGGGAATGAACCAGTGGACGGAAGATGGTTCTCTCTGTGTATCTGCCTTTCCAATAACAAAATAAAATAAATCTAAAAAATACAAAAATCACCAATAAATCATACATCAAAGCTGGAACATAGGCAAGTTAATATTTGAAACTCTGACTACAATTCTCATTTAGTCTCTACAGGCACAAAATATGATACAAGTATTCAGCCTTCTCATTTAAATGATGGTGGTTCTCTTAGCTTAAAGGAAAAATCAATGGTTAAAAACACTGAAGGGTCTGGCACAGTAGCTTTGTGGCTAAAGTTCTTGCATATGCAGGTATCCCATATGGGCACCAGTTCTAATCCCAGCAGCTCTACTTCCCACCCAGCTCCCTGGTTGTGACCTGGAAAAACAGTCGAGGACAGCCCAGAAGAAGATCCTGGTTGCTGGCTTCAGAATGGCTCAGCTACAGCCACTTGGGGAATGAATCCGCAGATTTGTTTATTTTTTTAATTTTTTTATTCTGATTTTTGCAAAATCAGATATACAGAGAGGAGGTGAGACAGAGAGGAAGATGTTCTGTTCGATGGTTCATTTCCCAAGTGGCCACAGTGGCTGGAGCTGAGCCAATCCAAAGCCAGGAGTTGAGGTTCTTCCAGGTCTCCCATGTGGTTGCAGAGTCCCAAAGCCTTGGCCCATCCTCTACTGCTTTCTCAAGCCTCAGGCAGGGAGCTGGATCTGAAGAGGGGCTGCCGGGATTAGAACTGGGGCCCATATGGGATCCCAGCGTTTTCAAGGCAAGGATTTTAACTGCTATGCTATTGCGCTAGGCCCCACAATGACTTTTAAATAGATGCAATTGCCTTTTTTTTTTTTTAAAGAAAACAAAAATACAGCAAAACTAAAACAGACCAGAATCTGATTCAAAGAAGTTAAATGGTTTGCTGATCAAAGCACACACCTAGAATAAAATGAAATTAGGACTAAAAATTCAGATTTATCCAACTTGCTATCTAGTATTCCATAGGAAAAGAAAAATCACAGAAGCATGAAAAGTGAATACTCAGGGGCCAGCATTGTGGTGCAGTGGGTAATACCATGTCACTTATGATGCCATCATTCCATATGATTGCCAGGATGAATCCTACTTTTTCTGCTTCCAATTCAGCTCCCCACTAATGTGCCTGGCAAGGCAGTAGAAGACAGCCGAAGTATGTGGGCCACCAGACACATGTGAGAGATGCAGACAGAGTTCAGTCTGGATCAGATGAGCCCCAGCTAAGGCAGCCATCTGAGGAGTGAACCACCAGACAGGAGATATCTCTTTTTTTTTTTTTTTAAAGATTTATGTTTTATTATTTTTTTATTGGAAAGGCGGATACACAGAGAGGAGAGACAGAGAAGAAGATCTTCCGTCCGATGATTCACTCTCCAAGTGAGCACAACGGCCGATGCTATGTCTGAAGCCCGGAGCCTCTTCCGGGTCTCCCATGCGGGTGCAGGGTCCCAAAGCTTTGGGCCATCCTCGTCTGCTTTCCTGGGCCACAGGCAGGGAGCTGGAAGGGAAGCGGGGCTGCCGGGATAGAACCAGCGCCCATATGGGATCCCGGCGTGTGCAAGGCGAGGACCTTAACCTCTTGCGCCACTGCGCCGGGCCCGAGATATCTCTTTGTAACTCTGCCTTTCAAATAAATACTTTTTAAAGTGAACACTCAGAAAAGAGCAATTTGCAGTGTCCTTATAAGATACTAGAGTAATGGCTGAAAATTAAGTTAGAAAGGTAGAATAAGCTCACAAGGAATACTGTAAATTAACCTACTAAAGCTATTAAACATTTACTTGGATATTAAGCAGTATTTGTAAACAAGACACTGTGTTGGCGCAGAAGCAGCCAAATGGCCCCAGGCACATACATTTGTACACCAGGAAGCAACTAAGTAACCAGACTACAGTAGCTGGGCCAACAGGGGTCCTCAGAAGTAGATGCTTGTCTCCACCAACCTACTTTCTACCCCATGAAGAAGCAGGCAGAATTCCCTAAGCAGGTTACCCATGGAGGACTTGCAAAGCTATCAGACATTGACAGGGGAGTTACCTGGACCATCTGAGATGCTCAGACATTGACAGGTACTTCACCCCACACCAAATTCACCAGGGTCCACAGAATTAGCTCTACTATCACCCAATTTGCAGAAGCTGTCAAGACACAACATCCACAACCAGGTGCCCTGTGCCCCAGCTGCAAATGCACCCCCACCACTTAACATAGCCACAACACCAATTAGCAATACAATCCCGTTAATTCCTACAACTTAGGTCATTGAAACACTCACAGGCATGGTCAACACTGATTATAGTTTAAGAAGCTACAAAGACACCCCATGAACAGTCCCACCTGAACCCAAAACCAATGAAACATATCCAGTCAGCACTCAAAGAAACAGCACCCGCAGAACATAAGCAACTCTGTAAACTGATAGAAGCAACTGAGCCTTCCATATGGATAAAAATCAACAGAGGCATAAAATCTGCATGAAAAAAAATTGAGGCAACATGGCACCTATAAACAGCTATATTAACCCCCTAAAAATGGCAACAAATAAACAGAAATCAACAGCTAACAAAAAAGTCAAAACTACAACTTTAAGGAAGCTTGGTAAGGTGCAAGAGGGAGTGGCATTGTGGTATAGTGTGTAATGTTGTCTGCAATGCTGGCATCCCATAGGGATGCTGGTTCATGTCCTGGGCACTCCACCTCTGATCCAGCTCTGTGGTAATGGCAATGGAAGATGGCCCAGGCGTTTGGGTCCCTGTTATCCACATGGGAGATAAGAAGAGGTTCCTCGTTTCTGAGTTAGGCCTGGCCCAGCCCTAGCTATTACAGTCATCTAAGAAACAAAGCAAAGCTCACTCTGTCTCTCTCTTTCTAACCCTCCTCCAACCCTCCCATCTCTCTCCCTGAGTCTCTGATTTTCAAATAAATAAATACATCTTTAACAAAAAGATACAACAGACTACAGAGAGAAACTCAATGACATTAGAAAAAGATAGTACAAATAAGAAATCATCACAGAGTAAACAAAAAGAACCCATCAGAAATCTTGGAGCATAAAAAAATAAATGAAACTATATTCAGCTGAGTACCTCTGCAGCAGAAATGAAACAGTTACAACAAAGAATATCTGAGCCTGAATGCAGATCTTAAATAACCCAGTCAGATATGAAAAAAAAATTAAGTTTTCAAGATTTTAAGATATCATTAAATGAGTAGCTTTTTGCCTTACTTACAGGTATTTCCAAAGAAAAAGAGAAGGGAAAGAGCAAAGAAATGCATTCAAGGAAACAACTGATGAAAATCTCCAAATATCTGGGAAAGATAGAAGTATCCAGTTCTAGGAAACTCACCCAAAAGATCGGTTCCAAAGTATATTTTAATAAAAATGACAAAACTGTAACAGGGGCAGGGTGTTTGATCTAGTGGCTGAGACACTTTAAGATGTTTCGCCCAGGACCTGGTGCAGTGGCCTAGCCACTAAAGTCCTTGCCTTTCATATGCCAGGATCCCATATGGGTGCTGGTACTAATCCCAGCAGTTCCACTTTCCATCCAGCTCCCTGCTTGTGGCCTGGGAAAGCAGTCGAGGACGGCCCAAAGCTTTGGGATCCTGCACCCAAGGAGAGAGGCTCCGGGTTCCTGGTTTTGGATCAGCGCAGCTCCAGCCATCACAGCTGCTTTGGGAGTAAATCGTTGGAAGATCTTCCTCTGTCTCTCCTCCTTTCTCTCTCTCTCTCTCTTTCTCTCTCTCTCTCTCTCTATATATATATCTGAGTTTGCAGTAAAAATAAACATTATCTTTAGGG